ATAAATTTACACATATAAAAAGTTTAAATAAACTTTTGATTCTTGTAATATACTACATTTTTTGTTTTAATCCTTATAAAATTATTTTTCTAAATGGTTCTCATAGAATTTTTTTTTTATAATTTGGGTCCTTAATATTTTTGTTTTAGTCTTAATAATATATTTATTTTTTCCCTTTTTTATGTAATATTTGAATAACGTTTTTTTAGTACTTAGTAATTTTGTTTCAAATGAGCTAATTCAAAATGGACAAAATATTATAGGAATTAAAATGGAATATATATATATATATATATATATTAAAGACTAAAATAATATAACAAGTATCAAAATAGAAAAACTATTTTTTATTATAAAAACTAAAAATATATTTAAATTTAAACAAATAATTATTATATGTATTACAAATACTAGATAATTACATCTAAAGAAAATCTAAACAAACGTTATTATAATTGTTATGGATAAAAAACATTTGTTGGTTGAAACTTCAACTTGATAATGATGGTTTATTGAATGCAAATAAATTTAATGAACTTAATTGTATTTAATATCGAAATAAAATTTTCATTAATGTTCTTTATTATACATTTCATAATTAAATATTAGTTTGTTTTTCTTCTAAACTAGTTACTTTACAATATATTTCATAAATAATGATACCTAAAAGTAACGATATTATAATTATGTAATTAAATTTAAAACATTTCATAATACATTATTTTAATTAATAATCATATTCATATATATAAGGATAAGAATTAATAAATTATATATATATATATATATATATATATATATATCATGATATTAAGTAATAATTATATATATAGTTAAATTTAAAATAGTTGTAGATCTGTGTTAAACAGGCTTTAACTAATGTGAGCCTTTGATGGATACTCCAATTCTACAACCTTTGATATTATCCAATAAAATATAACTGACCAAATTATAGTTTAAAAAAATTGATTTTGTTACCTTTCACCTAAAAAAGAATTGATTTTGTTAATGAATACATATCCATTGAGCTAAGCAAATTCAAAGAAACTGTTTTTATAATTTTCTTTTAACTGAGACAAAATTGTTTTTATTTATTGATTTTTTTTAAATTAGTATACATAAATAGTTTTATACATATAAATTAGATTTAAGATTTATGATAAATAATTTGTATTATAATAAAAAATTATTTTTATTTATTGATAATTTATTATAAAACATTAATATTTAATACATAAATAATTATGATAAATAAAAATTGAATTAAATACGAAATTAAAAAAATTTCTACAAACTCTCTTGTTGAAGAAAGACTCCTAAATACATTCTCGTGCAAAATAGATGTTTGTGTTTAATATATAAGAATTGATTTATGATAAATAATTTGCATTGTAACAAAAAAAATATTTGTTGATAATTTATTTTAAAATATTAATATTTAATTAATAAATAATTATAATAAATATAAATTATAATTACTCGTTTTGGTCAATACACTTCTAAATCATCTACACTAACAATGAAAAGATAACTAATCACGTAGAATTATATTTACGATAACCGAATAAGTACATATATCATGCATCCTAAGTTATCGGTCAAACAATATTTATACAAACTAATAAAAGTAGTCATCGACTACATTGCCAATAACATGAAGGTCCACTTTAGCTAACCCTGCCTTATTCTCACGAAAAACATAATCATCACAATACAAGCCACATGAAAAACTGTTGGGATGCAAGCAAAGTCCCACATCGTTCAAACAAGAGAATGAACATGTGTTTATATACACACAGTTGCCTCCATTGGTTGAGAGGCCTTTTGGGTGATGTCCAAAAGCAAATCCGTGAGGGTTTGGGCCCAAAGCGGACAATATCTCACTAATGTGGAGACAAGTGTGTATGTGTAGTACCCACCATGCTCAACAAGTAGTATCAAAGCCGATGGTCTGATCAGGTGACCAGCTCGACGAGTATGATGGCTGGTAAGTGGATCCAAGTTTGGGATCTCTTGTGTCGAAAGTCTTCCTAACAGTGGGTCTATGTGGAGGAGAGGATTCCTAGTAACATGGAGGGTTAGGAGGCGTGTCCCGCTGTCATGAGGGAGGTCATGATAGAGCGGTGGTGCAAGCACTCTCAACATGAGTGAGCTCTGTGGGGCTGGCAAGTGGATCCAAGTTTGGGATCCCTTATGTTCGAAAGTCTTCCTAACGGTGGGTCCATGTGGAAGAGAGACTTCCTAGTAACATGGAAGGTTAGGAGCGCGTGTCCCACTATCATGAAGGAGGTCATGATGGAGCGGCGGTGCAAACACTCTGAGCGTGAGTGAGCTCTGTGGGGCCACCATCGGATAATACTCGTAGTTTCCGTTGCAGGGATGTATTAAACCGTGGTCCTTTGTTTGAGGGGAGGATTGTTGGGATGCAAGCAAAGTCCCACATCGTTCAAATAAGAGGATGAACATGGGTTTATATACACACAGTTGTCTCCATTGGTTAAGAGGCCTTTTGGGTGATGTCCAAAAGCAAATCCGTGAGGGCTTAGGCCCAAAACGGACAATATCTCACTAATGTGGAGACATGTGTATATGTGTAGAAACCCCCCTCGATGCTCAACAAAAACACACAAAAAGTAAGTTAGATTTCAAAAACATGCAAGTATACAAAGAAAATATCTATGCTACTAACATCATCCACATGTAAACCAACTATAAACATCTCATGGTTTACAACAGTCACCAATTCAATGAAACAACCAACATGTTTGAAAGATAAACACCTAAATAGTTCAAACATTCACCATAATCATACCATACAACAAGGTATTCATTTGGTGCATGTGAACAAAAATCAATTCACACTTCATCACAGACATACATCAAAACCAATGTGTCGTCACACATTCACTTACAAAAGTCTTTTAACATACCTAAGCAGTCTGAGTGGTTTAATCCTACCGAATCAACCCAATCACTTTCACGTCCAATGCGCTCGCTAGATCAACAACTAAAATCATATACCAATCTCTACTTTTGATTTTTAAAGTGTCATTACTTTCATTAGGAAATTCTGATTCTACCATCAGGACTAATATACCTAAGTATAGACATATCTCGACCTTGACATGCATCACCAAGTCACTTATAGAATTAGCCTATTAATTATCCTTAAGAAATCACACAACCTTTCCAATAATCAATTAAGGGTGGTAGTCATCGACTTTATACTTACTCCATAATGACTAAGACCTAAAGGAGACTCAACAATATCCACTCAAAGAGTTTCATACCTATTCAAGGAGGGTTTTCAACAAGTAGCCTCCCATAGTGCCATAACAAGACTCCCTATATGGGATTTTCAACATTCAAAACAATAACATCTTCTTTAGTCCTAAGTCAATAAACATGTTTTAGTGCCTACAACATTTTCAGTACCAACACCTATATATACATCATCTATACATTACCCTAAGTCAATGTATGTAGAGATCAAATCACACCAATCATACTTAGCATATCAATGCTCAATAATTCATTCAAAAATAGCATATCAATTCCTATTCAACTCTCCAACCATGCAATTTATAGCATATCAATTATACATAACATATCAATTTTCATCACCATTTCAACTACATAAGTGTAGCATGCCAATGCTTATTATCATCATCCTACATACAACATGTAATAGATTAAACAATGCTATTCATGTTCACCATTCAACAATTAATTTCAAAATAATTTGTGCCCGGTGCCATTAATAATGCAGATCACAAAAATTGCATTCCAAGACTTGAAATTCAGTTAAACCAGACATGCAATGCATCCAACAACACATAAACACCATTCTCAACTCATAACACCAAAAATTCAGCATGCACCAACAATTTGATCACATCATCAAAATTCAATTCAAGTGCTCAAAACACCCAAAACCCACCCATTTCATTCAATCATCCAAAAATCCAACACATAAACACATTATTGGTGCAAATAAACAACATGCAACACAATAATCTAACAAGAAATGCTCTTAGCTTTTCTAACCTCGATTCTGAGCCAATCAAAAACAAAGAAGAGGAGGAGGAAGAACCCCGAGCTTCCACAAGCTCCACAACCACCCAAACTTCAATTCTCAACCTCCAAATGTTTTAAATCCACCATCCAACAACAATCCTCAGTACTAGTAGAATCTAGGAGGAAGAAGAGAAAAGAAGGAAATCAGGAAGGAAAGCCTATCTCGCTAGGTTTCTCTCTCTAGATTTTGAAGAACATGAATTTATGATACTCAATTTTTAATAGAAACTTTTATATACCTTTTTCCCTTTAGGGTCAATTGGACATCTAGCCGAGACTCTTAAAATTAACTAATTTCTTAAGAGTTTCTCAACTCTTAGAGTTCCGCAACACACTTTAAGCATCAAATACATAATTATTGCTAAAAATCAATAACTAAAAACTTACAATATTACGATAACCAAATTAAATAAGAAGTTAAAAAAATCTCTACAAACTTTCTCATTGAAGAAAAATTCCCTAAAAACTATCTTATTCAATATATACAGGTTGTTTTAGATTTATGGTAATAACTTATATTATAACACAATATTATTTTATTTATTTATAATATATTTTTTAAAATATTAAATTTTATTTTTAAATAATTATGATAAATAACAATCGAATTAGATAAAAAATTAAAAAAAATCTCAAAAAAATCTTTTATAAAAAGAACTTTAAAAAATATTTTCATAAAAGATAGAAATTCCTGTATAATATTTAGAAGTTGATAATCTTAATCCTCATTAGGTGGATTGTAATAATTAAAAAATAATAATAATACAATCTTTTATGATTAAGGAAAATTAAATATATATAATAAGAGTTTACAACATTATGGTCAACCCACTCACTTGATAGAAGCAATACGATCTAATATACAAATAGCTAGATATAGAATTTAAAAAAAGAATAAATAGCGTGATTGAAGTTATTATTATAAGGTTGTTTTATTTTGGAAAATGAAGACATTAAGTCAGTGAGAAGAGAGAGAAATAAAAGCGGGGAAGAAAACATTAACACAATGTAACTCTGTTGTGTTGTGTCCATTCCATAACCTAATTCCGTCATAACGATTGGCGCTTAAGCAAAGATGTAAGCAATATTCATTCCTTCCGCCAAAGCCAAAATGACTGCATCGACGTCTTTTTTTCTCCCAAACTCAATCTTTTGATTTCAAGAGGTAACCTTCCTTCTTCATCCTTTTTCTTCCCTCTCTATTTTTAGCACTTCGCTGATAATGAACCGCTCTTTGCAA